TATGGATGTAAGCAAAATTGTATTATGACCATCTGTTTTGATGTAAACAAATGTGAACTTGAAACAGTTCAGATGATTGACAACATAATTCAGCATAAAATCTGAAATTTTAAAAGCCTGTAGGACGAAAGGGCTTTCTCGAGATATCCCAAACCCGCAAAAGGCACATCTAGAGGATGACAGCTTATTAATACCCAATTTGCCTATAAAAATTTATATTTTTGGGTCGATTGTCTGCACACAAAAATCAAACAAATTCTTGTAATAATATATATAAGGCTACCCTGCACATGGAAAATAGTACATACGAAGGTGACGCAGTTACCGAGACCCAGCTGGCCCAAGACCAACTTGATTGCGTCACAACTAGAGCTCTGATTGGACCAAAAGTGGCCGAGCCCTACACTCGACAACAATGAGAATGAACAGAGGTAGACGAGAGATAACTAATAAGAAACCCGTTATCTTTGCTCTGGAAGAACGTCATCGTAGACTACAAACTACAAGTGGAACTAACAATAATTTATCGCAAGAAAAATACTTGTAAATACAAAATATGTCATAAAGGATTAGCCAAAGTATATTAGTAAAAAATGCAAAATCAATCTTTTGGGTTAAGCCAGCAAAAACAATACTGCGCGGATAGCATACTTTTAATCATGTTTAATATTGAGATACGGTACATACAGTATAAAGATAACAGGGAAATCTCAAAAGATCGAATTGAAGGTGAAAACTGATGATGACAATCCAAATATTATTAGACTAAACTTTACATACCTCGTACAGTTCAAATATAGTGTTTGAAGTCCACTACATATGTTTCGCCATATATGGCATTCTCAAGTGGTCACAGAAACATTTTATCCAATTTGGACTCGTCAGTCGTCAACATGTTACTTCAAATACGAAAATATTTACATTATGACACCAAAATAAATAAATTTAATTAATAGCTATTTACCTTACAAGTGTAGTAAGAGTGTTTTTACATCACGCAGGTGAATGTTGTGCAACGAGCGGAAGCGAGTTGCATAATTTACCTAAGTGATGTAAACACGCTCTTGCGTATACATCACGCTTGGGATAGGGAAGTTTAACATGGCGGGTTAGGTAAAATATTATTCAACAACTAACTGACTAGGATATTTTTTCTATCTCAGTTTGACCAAATGGTTGAAATCAGATGGTTTTGCATGGTTTTGCTTCAACTATGAAATGTACCGTAATTGAGTAATCTAATTTTTATAAATTTTAAAATAAATATTCACCAATATTTTTTATTTTTTATTTCATGAGGCCTTTCGCCGTCTATGCATCGTCAGTAGGCACACTTACACAAACTGAAGGCTATGTTTACAATACCTCAAAAATAATATATATGTTCATGGCATAAGGCCTCATGAAATAACAATTACCAAAAATATTGGTGACGTATTTATTTTAAAATGTATTTAAACTATTATTACCAGTTTCTCATGAAGATTAACTTTTATACTTTAATTGAGCTTTTAGATATTTAAGTAAGCCTGCTGATGCCACACAATAATACTTGATACATTTATTACAGAAGTATGAAGGTACCTACGACAAAACAAATTTAATATATTAGAAAAGACACAACTCTTTTTTTTTTTTTTTTTTTTGTACCACCGACGATCAAGATTAGTCACCTTCGCGGTTTTCTTTCATCAATATTGTGAACTCTCGACTTCCGAGTACAACAATGCAAGTTATGCTCTTGCACATATTTAAATTCCGAATTGCGGAACAATATTGTATGTTCTGTTTTAAAACAGTTTGAGTGTTACTTTCAAGGATAGCGGGTTGGTTCAAGGTAGTTCAGATAGCGAAGGGATCTGTGGTAAAGTAGGAAAGAAATGAAGATATAATAATCGATATTTGTAATTTGTACGTTTTTTAAGGAGTTATTGTCGAATGAATGTACAACATTTAACAGGTATAAAAAATGTTTGCCTACTATTCCATCCCCATTTTAAATTTGTAGCCAGGTTTTTTTTATCAAAATCGTCGTAGTTGGTGTGAGCCACCGGTTGTGTTGATCACTAAATTCTGTCGAATACACAAACCTTTTTGCCAAGTCCCACTTAGGGAATGTCTTATGGTGACCTATAGCAACTGCTATGACCCACCAACCTGGTCAGCAACAACAAATAAGGTATAAAATATAATTTTAGACGCTAGTGCATTCTGTGACTGGCTCACACAACTACGTTCATTTTTTGTAAAAAAAATTGGTGACAGCTGATCCATATAAATGGGATGTCTATTTCAGTATCCAATAGTCAATGCTACTATACTTTGAGAGCAGCAAATTATCTATACTATTATAAAAAAGAGGTGGTGTCTGTGTGTATGGGAAAAGTAAACGCGAAAACTACTGGTCGGATCGGGCTGAAATTCGGCATGATGATAGCTCATATTCCCGATTAACATATAGGCATATTTTTATCCCAAAAATCCTTCCGGGCTCCGCCCCAGTGGCTCTGGAGCAAAGGTTCCCATGTTAACCTTATGAGAAATGGAATTAATGAATCTTAACAGCTGTTTCAATTAAACAAGTTGGTTCTGTTCTATGATTTTCAATAGCATTAAAGTTACAAGGATTACCAACAGGGTGCAGCACTAGCATTATTTCTTTTACATTTTTATGACAACAGCTAATTTGCAACCAAAAGGTGAGTGAGCGTAGCGAACGAGCTAACCTGAAGGAAAGTGAGCGCAGCGAACGAGCTCCAACCTAAAGGTGAGTGAGCGTAGCGAACGAACTTCAAAAAGAACCGAAATTTCTTAAACCATGTCCTCACTCATAACTGCTATAAGCATTTGATACTTATATGCCAACCCCGTACGAAGGACGGGTACTCTGCTAGTCTATTATATTATTAGAGTGATACAATCAAATTTTATGTAAACGGTTAAGGTCATTTACCAAATAAAAATATAGGCATATGGCACATCAAAATGAAGCTTAGAGTGTGTAGATATGCCGAAAAGTATTGATATGGACGAATTTCCTAAGGGCTCTGCGCCACAGGTTGATTTCCAAGGGGCTACGCCTGGCATGCTTCCAATGTTTAAATGATTTAATTTAATTTAGTTAATGAAACAGCTGGTCAGTACAATGAACTGGTGTTTGTTTATTTACTCGAATAAGATGTTTGTTTTGCTTTATGTAGATTGAGGAGGGTTATGTTTAGTTTTAAAGTGAGGTTGTATATATTTTGTGAAGTATTGCTTAAAGTTTCATTTTATTAAATTTAAATAGTAAACTACACGTGAAGAGGTTTGACTAAAATTGAAGAAAATGGTAAAACATGTCATTCATGAACATCAATATGAAGCAATAATTGATGCTATTGCTACACTAAGGTATGTTGTCATATCTAGGGATCTATTAACATCAAAAGCAGGGGTTTGGAAGTAAGTAGGTTTACGCTTTTAAATCAGTTTTATTTTCAAACTAAATCATAGAGTTGCTGTATTTTAAAACACACATCAGCACCACTTTAATAGCTCTCTAGGTCACATTTTCTTCCCGTTGCAAAGTACGGGTATGGTATAGCAGCTTGTATCATTTTAATTTGTTAAAATTTACAAATAGACCAGTATACAACTAACCAAATAAGAGATAGTTTGGACTACATGTTAAACATGTCTATTGACATGGGATGGCTTTTATTTTACTAAAACTAAGCAGCTGTAAGTTTCTTAGTTTATTTTAGTATTTTATTTTAGTTAATAACTCGTATTTATAACAAGGATTTTTAAATAAAAATGGCATAGGTACTTATATGCAAACGAGAAAAATATATTCCAGAGAGAGCTCAACCGATTTTGCTTCAAATTGAACGGAGTGTCCAATGTTTTTGTTTATTTATTTATTCTTCCAATGGTACATACCAATTTACATAAAATTTAAAGGTTGTTGGCAAAAGAGTTGAAAAAGCAATTAACAATTAAGCATAAAAAACAATAAATAATATTTAACAGCTGGGTTAACAATGATTTGACTCTAAAATATGAGTTCAGTTAACATCTTAAATAACATCAAAAACTTCGAGACAAGATCAGCTGGTCGTGACAGAAAAAATCACAAAAACCTCATAACAATAATAACTAAATGAATGAACTACAACAAGCTATAAACTGAATAAATAATATCTAACAACAATAACAACAAACAATAATTGGCTCCCCAATAACATTCAAGATGTGACTAAGAGGAAGTTTGAAGTACATCGATTGTCAGCGTCAGGTTGACCTACATTTTGGAATGTTGTTTTGGAATACGGTTAATAAGTTATACCAACATGATGCATAAAACCGAGATAAATCAAATATATCTAAATGTTATTTAACGTATTACATTTTTATTTTTTTACCAAGTATCCCAATTAAAAACTATCTACAATAAGCTGTAACTTGGACTAGCAATTAACAAGCCCTAACAATACAAAGAAAGTAATGCGTTACTATCAAAGGCAAATTTAAGGTACTATAACATTTTGAAATCTTTACCCGATCATTCTACAATATACGATATTTTTGGGTTCAAGGTCACTAAACTACGCACTTCCATTGACCTAGATGTTATCACACTGTTTAAGATTATACAATTTTGATTAATAATACAGTTATACAAGTTAACACCCCAGCCTTATTCAGCTACACTATAATCATCTACTTGTAACATATTTGACTAACAAGTAGATTGATGTGATGACCCAATTTCAACACCCATCCCTTCCTCTGCATCGGAACCAGCGACTACGGACTACACAGCGCAGATTGTCAACACTCATGAAAATTGATAAACAAGGCCTTCAAATGTGTAATTTGTCCAATCAATGGTAGTTCTGTGTGTTATCAATCATTAGCAAAGTCGTCCTTTGAACTCCGCTATCATTGTAGAGGGACCAGCCTCTATCGATTACCCCCACCGCTTCAAGCTGGAGAGCAGAATATAACGCCCGTCTACTGACTAGTGTGTGAGTGAAACTGTGAACGGCTGCCACGCTCCAACTCGTCTCCAAGTTTCATTCTAGCGGTTGTACTCGCCAGACAACGTCCTCATCGGTTGTGTCAGCGAGATGAACAATCCTTAATTTGTCGTAGTGATCAGTTAAAGCCTAACACTGGCATCGACGCTATTCTACCGTGTGAGTGGCATGAGGGCAGATTTACAGTCCTTTATCAGACATACTTCTTCTGACCACTTTTCGGAATTGTTGTTGTTGTAGTCGCCATACTTTGTGATCTCTTTTTTACCGGGGTTGTTCGCATTTATCTCGTTTTTTATATTTTGTGATATTTTTACCTAGTTCGCGATGGCACCCACAGGGTTTTCGTTGGCGAGGAAGGAGAGTGACGACGGCAAATTGTGCCCGAAACTGCTCACCAAGAAAGGTGAGTTTTGTCTTTTTGTTTTCACTAGATATAGACCCTCACCCTAGACTCTGCTCTGCCACAAAAAGTAAACGTCAAAAGCGCCACGAATCTATCGATCAATGCTGACACAGTTGTTTGTTTCACACATCATCATTCACTATATAAATTTTATTTGTATCAATACAAAGTACTAATAAACAATTAATATTTTCTCACGCTTTGTATTTGCGCTTCAGAAGAGTAAAAATAGAACACAAGCCATGACGTTTGTTTTATTTTTGCCCTCTCAGTTGAGCTTTTAACTTCCACCTCCATTCTCATAACTAATAATCACTTCAATAGTGTTAAATCCTCAGTAAATAACTTTCTAATTCATTACCACACGTGTATAATTAATGGGTAATTTTGTAAATCAGCACGTGAAGGGAGAGAAGAGTTGAAAAAGAAGAGAGAGTCGTGTTTGGTTTTGGTTGGAGTAAAATTTCACAGCTGGACTGAGTCGTATGCTTACGTAATGTAAAACAAACCTGAGCTTCGTCTGCATAAGTCTTATCTTTTGTTCTCTCGTGATAAGGAAATGATAAAGACGTCAGCCAAGCAAGCTAGACTACATTTATAGTGAGACTATTTTTACCACAAAGTGTCCTTGTAGCTCCATGTGTCAGGGCTCATTTTAGAAGTTCGAATTAGAATAAAATTTAAAATTTGTTAAAACATTTCAAACATCACATTGCAGAAAGAATGTAATTGTACCCTAGTGTCATATTGCAGGAGAATTTCAGAATTCAGATTACTACGATTTCTGATTGAGTTCATGAGTAATTGAATCAATACATTCATAAGCAGCTTAGATAACATGAAAAGCACTTATACTCATAGAAATTTAAAGAAAATTGACGATAAAAACTAAAAAAAAAAATTCAAAGATGCACATACAAGTACGGATTAATTTTAGCGAATTTCCCATACAAGGAATAAGCTATTACCGTAGGTCTCATTGTAAGACCTGGACCCGGGACCGATTTCTTTTTCGTTTTGAGGTCCCTAGATGCCAAAAACACATCTGCTCAAATTCATATATTACAATATAGACATATTTATATATTACGTGTACGAGCACGATGACTCGAGGAAAAATATCCGAATTTATTCCGGTTTAATGTTATTTAATTAGGTAAATGTAAATTCGCTTAAGTGTGCAGGTTTGCTGCGGTGGGGGTATTATATTTGTTTGTTAATTATCAGATTTGTGTGCTTCAATATTTTTGGTTCCTTTAAAAAATAAAAATCAACAAATAGTATATTTCATTACTAGGACCGAAAGTGGCATTTTCCGGAGCGCGCTCAAGTTTTTGTGTGAGGCGAAGCCGAACACAGGAAAATCCAATTTCACATGCGAGGCGAAGCCGAGTATGTGAGAGCTATTTTCACGTACGAGGCGAAGCCGAGGACGGGAATAATGGAGCAAGAGCCGGAAAATAACTTTCGGTACGAGTTATGAACGATACTTTTCATCACGACGCAAAAATACACAAACACAGAATAACAGACCTCAGTAATATTACAACTAGTTTATTTCTAAATTATTTATTTTAAACATCAAAATAAAATCTTCTGAAAGGAAACCTTTGTATATTTCTAACACTAGCGCGCGTAGTGAATAAATGGAGAACTAATTGAGAGCGACGAAAGTAAATTTAGAGCGAGGGAAAATCAGCTGATCGATTTTTCCTCGCCCTAAATTAGAGCTTGGGAAACTGCTACTTTCATTGATGTTAGCTGTTATCGAAAATAGTTACTTTCGTTACGGAGTGATGAAATAGTATATTTCATTACTAGGACCGAAAGTGGCATTTTCCGGCGCGCGCTCAAGTTTTTGTGTGAGGCGAAGCCGAACACAGGGAATCCCAATTTCACGTGCGAGGCGAAGCCGAGTACGTGAGAGCTATTTTCACGTACGAGGCGAAGCCGAGGACGGGAATAATGGAGCAAGTACCGGATAATAACTTTCGGTACGAGTTATGAACGATACTTTTCATCACGACGCAATAATACACAAACACAGAATAGCAGACCTCAGTAATATTACCGGTACAATAATTATCTATCAAACAATTTGTTTAAACATAAAAATAAAATAAAATCTTCTAAAAGTAAACCTATGTTCGTTTTTGTTTGATTTTTAAAACATAAAAATAGAATAAAATATTCTAAAGGAAACCTTCGTACATTTCTCAATACTTCAAACATCAAAATAAAAGAATAAAACGATTTTGAACAATACAAATACATACAGCTGATTTAAATCATTAAGTTAAACCTTAACAAAACACTAGCGCGCGTAGTGAATAAATGGAAAACTAATTGAGAGCAGGGAAAGTAAATTTAGAGCGAGGGAAAATCAGCTGATCGATTTTCCCTCGCCCTAAATTAGAGCTTGGGAAACGGCTACTTTCATTGATGTCAGCTGTTATCGAAAATAGTTACTTTCGGTGAGGAGTGATGAAAAATGTATTACATCCCCCGAAATGAAGTTTACACAAAGAAGGTAAAAGTAAAAAGTGTTAAGTTCTCTTCTTGTGTATTCAACAATATCTGCTGCAATGCAAATAGGCTTTTAAACAGATAAAATTACTGGAATTATATTTTTCAACTAGTTTTTTAACAGCGCGTGCACGGAGCTAACCTACACCGTAGTCTGAGAACCAAGCCAACGTCAGAACTATTCTTGCTACACAAGCAAACCAACGCACACGTGCTGTGAAATGCAACAAAGATCACTTTGTTGGCTTCATGAAGGAATGAAGCATTGAACATGTGCTTTGATGAACTACTTGTCGCTGATCATTTTGTCCATGGCATTACTGCATTAATGAAGATGTGTACGTGGTCAGTCTGTGTCCGTGTTGAACATGTGTTTTTCTGACGCATTCATGCATTGTAATTGATAATTTTTACCTTGAAATTACTTCGTCTCAATCAAGATGAGTACATGTTTAATTACCACAGATAAAAGAAATAAGTAGTTTGTTCATTGTATTTATGTGATGACAAGAGTCGTTTGCAGTCGAACCAAAAAAAGTATTCCTACATACAAAAATTAAACGTTTGAACAGCAAAACGGAAGTTGTCAAAAGCACGAAGTACAGTAGCGAGCTGATCTAGCTGATTATTTCGCACATATTGCAATTCGCAATGTTGATTATGTACGACCCAATCAAAACACAATATATTTTTCCAGTTGCCTACAGTTACACCTGACAAAGCAGGCTTTCTTATACTGATTATAGCATGCAAAGTAGCTAATTGCTGCATTTTCTTATTTTTACTGCCCTCCAGTATTCCAACCAAACAACACAAAACAGTGTGCTTTTATTAGGCACGTAATACGTGAACGCTTGAAAATAAGTTGGCAACACTTAAAGATATTATGACTACGATCAGCTGTTCCAGTGTTTCCCATTTCGTTCAACGCTTGGATTTATAACTTAACATAAAACGTGCTGTTAAGTGTTTGAAAGACTAATTATTTATATGTGAAAATTATTATGTGTAACACGAGCGCAAAGTGCCACTTAAATAACTATCGTTTTTATGCTAGATGACGTCAGCATATTTGCTTGATATTTCCACAAATCCTAGGACCTACAAAAATGTGGAATCTAAAGTATAGTGTAATTTTGTACGCGTTTCCAAAATATTGTTGCGCCCAATACATCAATACTGTACATATAAGTTATTTGTTATTTTCTTATGTAAGGATGATAAAAGAGAAAACGTAATTTATCTAAATATTATTTTAAGTTAAGCTTTGCTCAAATGCGTAAGCTTCGTCTTCTTTTTTTAATACGGGTTTACTTAATTGCTTTTCTTGTGTTGTTTTGTTCCTATTTACCGTATGCATTGTTTTAGGGGGGGGGGGGGGTGTCATTCAAGTGACGTCACCACTATTGTATTCAAATTTACAAATCGCATTCTATCTAGGCTACTTGGTTTAATTCTCTCACTAACCACAGAAGTATCTTGCCGTTGTAACAAATTTTAAATTCTGTAATAGATTGAACTGATTTGAATAATAGAATGATAATAGTTTTAGTTTGTATTACAAGCTGCAAATAACAAAAACTTAGAAATATAATTTTAAATTCATCATCTAACTATAGTTATTTGTGCAACTAGTGAGAAAAGTGAGCAATTGACTCACTCAAGAGAAATCCTTACTCACGAGCCGTAGGCGAGTGAGGAATGGTTTCTCGAGTGAGGCAATTGTACTTTGAACACGAGTTGCACATTATACTTTTCCTACAGTTACCATAAAACAAATAAATTTGTGAAGAAACATAACCTATTTTTACACAGAAGTGAACTTTTAATATAACATTTAATGTGAAGTGACAAATACAACAGTACAACAGCTGACCAGCTGATTTACAGCCAGTGCTGCCAACGTATTTCGCGCGCATACGACGTTGCCTGCATGTTACGCGCTCACTATTTCGTGCCTTCACGTTGCAAATCTGGAGTGAGACAAAGTAACTGATGAGCGAATTGGCCACTTTGCTTTCTCAAATCAGTGAGAGAACATGTACATTGTTAGGTAACTGTAGGAAAAATGATTTTCACTTTAAATTTAACTATGTCGAGACGGCCTTAAGCAAGCAAGCTATATGACCTTTGGATTTAAATACCAGTGATAATCTTGATCATAAACATTCTCAATTGCCCCAAGAAAAGTATATTTTAAAACTTTACGGGGACTAACCAAATCTATATAATTAATACGCTACACGAATTGAAACTTAAATCAAAAACACACTTCTTGCGGTAAAACAAATATTATCTTAATTTTATTTTAAGTGGAATGATATTTGAAAACTGTTTATAAACACTTGAAAACAAACGTGACGTATCAGTATCAATTGTGTCAAAAAGTGACGTTTTAATCTTTCACCTATCACACACAGTTGTACAGTTGTAACATTGCTTATCAATCTGTACTCGGAGAAGATAAGATAAAGGAAATTACGTACTGTAGGTTATTTTGTTTTTAAAGTAATATATCTCAAGCAGCGACCACAGAATTAAAATTATTAGGCTATTATTATTATTATGATTATGATTATTATTGTTATTAATTGTGGCCGCTGATCTCAAGGCATTTTTTATAAGTATTTTGATTTTTTGTTAATGCTTGCGCTTGTGTGATTTAAAAGAGAGATTTTATTTCAGATTTTATGGTTTCAAAAAATTTTAAACGAAATTCAAGTACATTATGTTTATTTGAAAATATCTGTAGTTCCTATGGTAAATTAAGTACAATTTGTAGGGTAACTTAAAGAATAAATAACGGGTTAAAATGTCTTTTTGGGGCTTCAACCATCCATCCACAATTGTTCCTAAGTTTCGTAGCACTGCTAGATTTATTTAGGGATATGATTTTTAACTGATTTAAAATCAAGTATTTTTTAAACAAAATTCTCTAACACTTTTCAGACCATACACATTGATAGAAAAGTAACAGATTTTCCTCTGTTTTTGTTACCGTAAATATTTTTGTACAATAATCAAGTCAAAGTACGATTTTAAAACAATTACAGTAAATTAGAACTCTCGAAGAGTTTACAATGCATAATTGTCTTAGTCCAAACCAGTTCACACGCTTTTGGTTTGTATCGCAGTATACAATCGGGCAAAATTCCAAGTTCGAAGCTCTCACAAGAGGTGTGTTTCAATGTATCTGAGTCACTTTATAGTTCAATTCACACTTCGGAATGTACAATAAAGCCGCTTATAGGCCACATATTGTTTATTTCCATCTATCACTCAAACAAGCTTAGAGACATAACTAATGTAAAATCTACGAACTTGAACGTCTATGGATCTGATCTGATGCACTAGAAGTTTCAAGTTCTCATACTAAAGGCTTGTCTATTGTAGTGGTAGATTGGCGCGCGCTTGGCACGATCCCCAAGTCTTGGCAAGTCAGTCTTTATCTAAACACTATCTAGAGACGATCATGCAGTGCTTAGAAATTTAAAATTTATTATAAATATCGGATATCGCAACAATGTGCCGGGATTGTGTCCAAGCTGAGCTCAAGGAAAGGCCTCCAGTCCAGCGAGCATCAAGACATGAAGGTAAATCTAAAAGCAGTAAAAACTGCGAATGACCTTCAATGTGTCATAGGAAACTTTGTCCTTTTATTTGATTTGATTTTTAACTTTGATTTTTAATATTGAGTTTGAACAATACAGGACAGGCTCTATAAGTTACTGTAACAAAACCTTTTTGCCAGTATCCACACAAGTGAACTTCAAAAATTGAAAGCGCTTGTTGTACTAAGTTTTTTACTGGTGTGAAAAGATGTCTAAAAAGTTTAAAATTGTAAAAAAGCTGGTTTCTCTTAACAATAAATTTCAAATGTTTCACCCTCACTCGAAAAGTAATATTATACATTAAAAAAACATTTTGTCTTGAAATCTGTTCAAACAAAAATAGCTAGTATAAAAAAATCATCATAAAGTATTTTGCCAAAAGTCTATAGACAATCTCCGCAAAACGCCATTGATCTGTGTAATTCCAAACCCCTATCAAATCAAAATAAGAACACTCAAATACCCCAGTAATTTGTTCATAAAATTTGGTGTATTGGTTTTAAATTCATAGTAAACAAAATGAAGTCTGCAAAATTCCACTCAAGGGTAAACGCTTATTACGCATTTATTACATTACCCACTTCTAAGTATAGTAGGCCTATCAGTGACGTTAACCAGCCCGGATAGCCCTTGAGATACCGAAGGCTGTGGAAGAGGAAAACCTTGGACATTGGCGGGAGCGGGAGACAGGCTGGACATTGGCGGGAACGGCGGCAGACACCCCGCGGCGGTTAGGTTACAACACCGCCCTTTTTTGTCCACTTTTCACGAGATAACAAAGACCTTGTTGAGCAGAACGTGCCGAGACTTTAGAATGCAATAATGAGTTTGTCCCCACCAAGGCAGGACTTTCCTTCTTAGTCCCTATGCTATGCAGCTTTGTTACTAAATGCTCGAATTCCAGGGCAATATACTTGTGACAGTAACTGTAACTGTATCAGTTGGTATTGGGTTCAGTACGAAACCCAGATAATACCCAGATAATAAAGTTAGTGGACCTGGTAGTACAAAGGTGTTGACCATGGACACAAAACATGAATATCTGAACATATCACTTTATAAAGATTGACCCATCCCTCATTCATGTTCAATTTTTACTGGGATATAGGTCCGATAGCCTCCTTGAGAGAACCTAAACAGTCTAATTGTTTGTTTAACAACTGACTGACGTAATCGAGCTCTTGCTCAATGATACTCAATGTAAACAATCGGCGTGTCATAACAAAACCAATGATGTAAGTTGGATCGGTCCGACTTCTAATAACAAAAACAAACGAACCGTCTGATGATTTATCTTTGACTACACACCTTAATAGTGAAAGTAGCTATTGGCGTAGGGTAGGTCTCATGGTATATACAGTATGTAGATTTATATTTGTGTCCGTGAACGCGATATCTTGAGTAATTTTTGTCCGATTTTTGATAAAATTTATTGAGTATGGCGGGATAAACTTCGGGAATCCAGCATGAACGGACCATGGGGACAAGGTTTTATATGGGGTAAAATGTTTTCTCATCTTTGACCCTCAAGACACAAAATTTCCCATTTTTTCTATAGACCATTTTAAAGAGCTTAAAAACAAATAATCTAGTTTATCAAAGTGTTTTTGTACGGTTATTGGTTACGGAGAAAAATTCAAAAATTGTAAATTTAAAATTTTATGTAATTTACATGGAGAATATTGTAGAATTTTGTAGTTTGCTTGTTTATGGATGTATTTGGATCAAACTTGGCAAATTTTTTTGTTTATACTAAGCTATTAATATTTTACATAAAAAAACACTTTATTCATACCCTGTAACACTTTATTATACACTTTATTTATACCCTGTAGCAGCAAACATAGGGACTTGTTAAACCTAATGTTATTTAAATAGATGATTTAACTGAAAATCCAGGCAAAATTGAAAAAAAAAACTAACCACATGCTTATTGTTGTAGGCTCATTTCATGAACAAATAAATAAAAGGTTAAAATACCTGCTTGTCGCCTTGTGGTCCAAGTATTGTCCTAGTGGATTATGTACATTTCGGCGCGAGCGGTCGTCTTCATTTCATGAAACCATAAAATTAAATTCCTAAGTTTTACTTTTTGATCTTGTTTTTTGTCCTTTTTTAAAATTGATCTCCCTGTCAATGAGTTTTAAGCTTCTGAGGGAACCCTATGAACTTTTGAGTTGTCTTGAAAAGCCTTCTTATCCACCCACTCAAATGCTGTTGAGGTACAAATACCCCGTCGCAGCAAACCTGCGCACTAAGTTCATTTCATCTTTCCGACTGGACTTTTTACTAAAATATCTAATTACTTGTCAGATTTATTACCCATTAAACTAACACTAGTGTACCTGTTGCTTGAATTCGAGCAATTGTGAAGTATTACAGAGGCGTTATTTAAAAAAGAATAACACTCATAATTTCTGATGACTTTAAAAGAGCCGATTCAAAGATTCTGGAAATACTCACAATGTACATAACAGTTCGATATAATAAACTTTCATTGTAAATATATTATAATTTTTCAAAAGCTGATCTTGTTTTTGAGTTTTTTCTACGAATGTTTCCCACTTGTAGCCGCATTAGGTTGTCCATAATAACGACTCAGAGTAATACTCTGAGATAACGATTAAAAATTTTAAAAACATATTCTGTATTTATATTTCTTCTACCTGGTGGTGTTTTAACTACGACAGTTTACTTTTCCTCTGATAGAATATTTAACAAATGGGGTTTATGTACAGTTTTTTTGGGATTGCCTCCGTATCCTTTAATTGTATAACAACGCTTCAAATAAACAATTTTTTTTGTTTTTTAGCTCTACACGATGGCTGTAATTAAGATTAGACATTTTCACGTTTTAAGGGTAAAAATTTGAAAACCCCAATTATTGAAAAACTTTAAAACTCTCTAACACCTTGTCTGTGATTTGATCTGGCTAGTTTGGAACTCATTCCCAAGTTTATCAAGCCTTACAAATTTATGCCAAATTTCAGCAAAATCAGGACCAAAATTGCTTGAGTTATAGAGTTTACAGACAGGTACAGTATATACGTTTATACAAAATTTGACTCAACAGAGATTTTGACCTCTGTGAAGGCATCAAAATGAAAAATAAATCGGTCCCGGTCAATGTCTTGCCGTGCCACTAAGGCAATAGTTTCTTCCCCTATAGGGAAATTCACTAAAACCACTTCAATTCATTAGTTAAACCAAAAGGTATAACCTTAAATTATTTCAAATAAAAGCAAAACTGTTTTAAGACTGAGATGTAAAAATTTTAGTAAAAACACCAAGCATTTTAATACAACAATCACAAGCAGACATTTATTTTCTGAACATAACACCTGTCATATGTATCCCACCCGGTTACATGATCAACCTAGTCTTGTGTAATGAAAATATCAAAGGTCAAACTTAGGGACTAAGGTTAAGTTGATTGACACAGCCTTGATATCTGTCACAGTGGTTTCATCGTCACAAGTGAAGCAATAAATACAAGGATTCTGCAATACTTTGCTTGTGATATGCTCTTGTTAAATCAAACTCCATATGTAGGTACTGATGTGCGAAGATATAAATGAATTGTTTTTCTTCATGACTACCTCTGTATTGTGATGTGATTTCTCTGACAATGTTGTGGGGTTTTCAGCGGACAACTTTGCGCCGCTGGTGGTGGCGATGGTCGGACTGCCTGCCCGAGGCAAGACTGTTCTCTCCCACAAGTTGAACCGTTATCTCAACTGGAACGGCCTCAAGTCTAAAGGTAAGAGAATATTCTATACCTAAAAGTTACAAACAAGTCTAGTGATAACAAAACATTCAAATATGAACAAACATTTATGTCAAAGGTAAAAGAATATATTAAATTAAAAATGAGTAAAAGTGAACACTTTAAGCCTACAGGTGCTAGTAATAGAAAATTTAGAGCTAAAATTAGTAACCTTCAAAACTAACAGAATAATCAAAGCTAAAAGCCAAAAAACATTTACAGTACCATAACAGTAACTAAACATAAGGTTTTTAGCTAGACACAAATCTAAATGTAACACGATGTTCAAGCCTCTAGTAACAAACAAATTAAATCTATAGGTAACACAGAAAAGCTTCTATTGAGTTATTGATAAAGTTATCAGCTGCTAGTCAGTTAAGAGAATGAACCAGCTGTAAATTAATGTAAAAAATAACAATAAAAAAAATTAATTAATTAATTCTGATCCAAAATTTTGCATTACTAATTTATATTATTGTAGTTATGGCTTCTGCCAGCTTCCAAAGATGATTCGACTTCAAATTGCAGCAAACCTTCACTGAAATAGTGCGATGTACAAGTATTATTATATCCTATAAAATATAACATAGAACAAAATATAGACCCTCACTAAATACACAATGCTAAGATTACATAAAAGCTGAGCAACATCCATCAGATTGTAGTCATAAGATTAAATGTAACTGTAATCCTCGTAAACAGTTTATAAACTAGGAAACAATAACATTACAAGATGTGTAGCTTACGACTAGTCATACTGGCAGGAGTAGAGGAGTTACACAATTAATCACTGATTTACTTGATTGTTGCAGTGTTCAGCATCAGTTTCTACCGACGCAAGCACATCGAGCTTTACGACAGCCATGAGATCTTCCGAGCTGACAATGAGGAAGCTTACGAAATCATCCAGCAGAGCGCAAAAGAAGCTATGGAAGATGCTCTTGACTTTCTAAAGTCCGAGGGAAAAATTGCGGTAAGTGTGAAAAACAACAAAATTAATGGATTTCAGGTGAATTTAGGGCCACGAACTTCTGGCCTAAGGCAGCAATGTCGTGGTTCAGATCCTGGTACCTGACACTACTTCTTATCAGTACAGTTCACCTTTTTACTGTAGGCCTACTGGCACCCCTTGCTTTGCTGGATACGTTCCACTCACAGGCCTCAGTGGCCAATGTTATAAAATAATGTCTTAGTAATTTATTCAACAATTTATTCACATTTTTATAGCTAAAAAGAGATAACTAACTGGTACTGGTATTCATACAGGGAGTCAGATTTTTTAAATCACATTTTTTAAGTTTTAAGTTAATAGTTAATAGTAATAAATCTTGCTTTGTAGATTCTTGATGGAACTCACGCCACGCCAAAGACGCGTCAGAATACTTTTGATTTCTTCGCCAAGCAGTACAACTTCAAGGTTTTGTTTCTCGAGTGTATCTGTGACGATGATATGATATTGGAAAGAAACATCAAGGTAAATATCTAGATTAATTTTGTAAATTTTTACTGTAAATCGTTGCAAAAAGGTTGAGTTATGAATGTCAAATTTGTAAATGATTATTTATGACTAGGTGTTATTTAAGTATAAACAAGGACCCAAATACTCTTGTTAATCCAAACATTTTGCTTATCCAGAAATGTACGTAATCCGTACAACAGGATTACATTAAATAGGCATTATAAAAACTCCTTTCTCATACGGGATGGGGTGGTATATTGATTTGATGTTCGATCACTGAACAGTATAAATTGCCAGTAGAATTCATGATTTATTTTCTTATAAATGCTTGATACATCAGATGCTCTAGACTACCTTTATCAAATCTTGTAAGAATAAACCCTGCTTTATCCAAATTTAATCATATAAACAAGATTTGGTCCCTATTGATACAGATTAATGATACTCCACTGCATATTATCATTTTCTCACAAGCCTCCGGTCTTCTTCAACACTTTGCCACCAAACTATATATTACAAAGTTAACCAAACACAATCAAACATAACAATTTTGTACTCTTAAGTATAATGTCTATGTTTTCGCAGGAGATCTTGCAATTCAGCAAGGACTACAAGCACATGACCAAGGAGAAGGCGTTGGATGATTTCCATCATAAGATTGAACACTTCATGGAGCAATACGAGCCCATCAACCCGAGGGAGGAGTCCAAGTACACTTACATCAAAGTATTCAATGATGGTGAGTGGAGTTCCATTAGTTTCCTCAACTTTATATTTTCTGATGTGTACAAAGTGTTACTAAAGTGAGATTTATAAAATTCTGCTTTATCTGTGAAAGCAAAAAAAATTGTGATTGTCATCATATTAGTCACTAACACATATTACTGTAGAAACTCAGTTCATTGAATATTCACACAATACTGAGTCAAATAGAGGAGGAAAGAAAATGACGATCAGTAGTTGAAATCATTTCTCAGTTGAGCTTTTTTTTTGTCTTTATAACAGTTTGAAAATTTTGAAATAAAATGAAATGAGTTTTTAAAAAGTGGCAATTTAAAAACTAAGAACATTTAAAAGATCCTTACTGGGGTAGGCCCTAATGATAATAATGGCCAAGAAACAAGCTTAGCAACCAGTGTCAAGGCTACATCCAAACCACCTGTTATCTGTGTGAGGACAATAATTACCTGACATCAATTAAAGTTGTTGATTTTTCTAGCATAGGAAGAGAATATTATCATTGATTCTAACTCTTTTACCTTACTTCTTAACTGTTTTTACATTTACATTCACTTTTAAGACAATGTTTTTCAACAAATTAAATTTTGCTAAAATGTATTTTTGTGTTGCAGGGGAGAATGTTTCAGTGCATCGTATCAACGGTCCCTACCAGTCGAATATTCTGTCTTTTGTTTCAAGCTTCAAGCCTGGGGCCAGGACACTTTACTTTTCCAGGGTATGCTTTGGAATTTAAAACACTTACCTAGTCTAAGAGAGCACTAAATTCTTACAAAATTGTACTTTCAAGCTTTGGTACATTTCTAACCCCCAAGTTAAGTAATTAATTATTGTTCTCCATTTAAAAAGCTATGCATAAAGAAATAATGGTACGAGTCGTGTTCTGTTTTATGTATATATTTTTTAAACTATTCTAAAAAGACTATTTAAAGTTTTAAGGACAATTTAATGCAAACTAAGAAAAAACTAAATAAACCATTGTTCCAGCATGGGGAGAGTGAATACAACGTGGTGGGTCGCATCGGAGGAGACACAGACCTATCTCCTCGCGGTCGCATGTACGCCAAGACTCTGGCTACGTACATCAATGATGCCAACATTCCCGACCTTCATGTCTGGACCAGTGAGAAGCGCCGCACCAAACAGACGGCCGCTGGCATCGCAGCTCCTTCTGAACCCGTCGAGGCACTCAATGAACTTGATGCTGTAAGTTTGTCTTGTTTTACCTAGTTAATTGTCTGGCTAGACAATTGGTTGTAGTGCTTGTCTTCAAATCTGAAGGTAGTTGATTATATTCCAAGCGTGGTGGATACTACCCCAACACCATTAGTCATGTTGATATTAATTGGTGTTATTTAACAAATTAATGGTAACAAGGGTTTGGACCACTCTCTTAGAAAGCATGGTAAAAACGCTATAATGTCGTAGATAAGCACAGAATAAAATAAAAATGAAAATAGTCATAGAAACAGAGAAAAGTATCAAAAAAAGGGCCAAACTATTTTTGAAACTACAGTTGAACCTCGATATGAAGTCATGGGGATTATCAAATAAGACGTAATATAAAGGCAAACTTGTTATCGAGGATTGCAATAAAATGTGGTTGGCTTTCATACAATATCAAAGGTTTGTCAAAATAACACATGTTATCAAGGGTGATTTTCTAACGAGGGTCTTGTTATTGAAGTTTTACTGTGATTACTCCAGCTGATGAATCTCTGTCCTGCTGATTGCAGGGAATATGCGAGGGCCTGAGCTATGAGGAGATGCAAGACAAGTTCCCGCAGGAATTTGCGTGGCGGGACCAGGACAAGCTGCGCTACCGCTACCCGTGGGGAGAGTCTTACGTTGACATCATGGCTCGGCTGGCTCCCGTACTGCTTGAGCTTGAACACGAGGACAATCTTCTGACCATCAGTCACCAGGCCGTTTTGCGCTGCATCCTCGGGTACTTCTTGAACAAGAGTTTGGGTGAGTTCAGCTTTCGTTCAGTTTTCTTCCAAAATAGATGATGTAAATAGAATATTCTGTAACATGTACTGAAAATGAAATGTTAGTTTGTGTTAAGTTTCTGAAAGTGACATTATCACCTAATGTCACGTGTTGGGCGAAGCTGATACCATGAAAATGAGTTTTGTGAGCAATTTACTAGAGCGTGCCAGGAAAGCATAGTTTATCAGTTGGGCTTTGTAGTTGAAAAATTTAACACACACTTTTTCTCCCATATGTACTTAATTTGTATTTTAATAAAATTTAGAAGGGACAAAAGTTATCAATTATAAATATAAAATATGGATATTTTCTTTATTGGTCCATTTACACTGTTGCAACAAATTAACAAAAAAAAAAACACTTTCTAACCCTTTTTATCTTGATAAGTTAACTTTTGACTTGGGGAAACTAAAATGGAATAATTTTTTTTTACCGACAAATTGAACAATATTTGTTTTTTGTTTTAGGCATGATACAAGGTTTTTTAAATTTTTCATCATCCGTAAAAAAATACTAAGTGCTTTTTTTAGCCTATCTAGACAACTCTAAGATAAAAAATAAGGTTAGCAACCTGTTATGGTGTTGTGATAACCCCTAGTTACCCAACAAAGATTTCGCACATCAGAACAATTTTTTCTCTTTTGTTATATTTGTTTATCACAACCTTTGACATTGAAGATAATGCAGACTGTGACTTTGAAGACTTGGCTTCTGTTGCAGGCGTCACCTTGATATGTCCTTGAGATACTTTTTGCAATAACAGTCAAAATAAACTGCGTAAAATTGTTCTCTTGATTACAATACACGTGTTTGATAATTTGGATATTTTGTTGTTATCAAAGAAAACGTTTTGTTCAAAGTTTTCTTCTACATTGTTATTTAATCAAATACACTCAAGGTTGTACAAATTATAGCGAGAATTTAAATTAAATATTTTCAAGAGAGGTGTTTTATTTATGGCCGTTTAATATAAATGTTTATTTTTAGCATGAATTTCCGATTTAGTAACGTTATAAAACGCCAGGAAATAGACAGCATGAAAATAATATTTTATAGTGAGCCAACATGAACCCTTTGGTCCAAGATTAAAAATAAATAAAATATGATTATCAAGAGAACAAACCAGTTTTAAATTTAACCATTCAAAGATTAATTGCCATTGTAGAAATTTTCATTAGGATTCAGTAATCATTCAAAGCAAAAGTTTATTAAGATTAAATTAGTAAAAAATATTTTATCAATGTTTTTGGCTATGAGAATCTGAAATATCTTCAAAGCCTGAAGATTGTTTGTGAAACCAGACAGATTTATTTCAAAACATATTTATGACGGCATCTAGAAGATTACTTAAAACTAGATACATCATAGAATACCCAAAATATCAAATGCTTCACTCCTGTGAATTATTTTAACGCCATAACATTCATAATTAATAATACCTAAGTAATAGACAAAATCAGTTGATCGCTCTACGTTTCTTTACTCAGTTAAACATCTGCAACTTCAACCTTATTGACATATTATTATCATATTAAAAGTACTCATGTTTTGACTTTAATTCTCTTGTTGCCAGATGAACTGCCATATATCAACGTCCCATTGCACACTGTCATCAAGATGACCATCGAGGGTTACAAGTGCAACATCGAGTTCATCAAACTGAACGTCGAGTGTGTCGACACTTATCGCAAACAACCTAAGGTAATTTTGTTGATTATTTGAAAGTTTAACAGCTTTCCTTTCACGTTCCATGACTAATTTCAATATTTCATCATTTTATTAAAAATCGAAAACTTGTATTTTGATTCAAACAGGTATAGTTATCAGAAAATATTAAAAAAAGTAACATTACTCAAGTAACAATGAAGAGTTCCAGAATTTGAACCAAATGTTACAAAAGTGCAAGCAATACACCGAGTACTAATAATAGTTTATCCATATCAGCTAGAATCGCTCACATCTCTACGTAGATTTCATTGCAACAAACCTTAAGAATATTGTGCAGCTATTGATATTGATTTTGAAGCTGAGTTACTTCCTTGTCCCCACTTACCTATGAAATATTCAGAAACCAAGAGACATTATACTATTGGAATTCCCAACTAGAATTTTTAGCTGGACAGCAAATCAACTTCATGATTAATGACAACGATTCTTAACACCTCTAGCACTTGCTTCTGAAGCTCCCTTGTGGTACCAAAATATAAAATCAATTGTTGTGACCTTTTAGTTTGCTGCAACTGTCTGGAACTTTTTTCTTAGGTTGTAATTTTTGTGTATAATTTCTTTTTCCTCAAAGCAAAATATTTTAAGAAAACTTATCACAAAATATTTTGCAGAACTGCAGTGTTGCCCGTCCGGCCGAGGAGGCTTTGCTGACAGTTCCGGCTCACTACGACAATTTGTGGCCCCTCAAGCAGCAACTGCTCCAGCATTAGAAAGCTTACTCCGCAACACGTAGCATGTAATAGTCGTTGTATCACTAACCAGTCAATGTTCAGTATTTATGTGTTTTAATCGGCCTCGACTGAATTACATGTAGCTTTACAAGCACAGTTAATTTAAAATAAAATTTGAATCACAAACTCATTCTCAGTATTTAGCATGTAAGTCTCAGAAAAAAGGTATGTTGTACATTATTCGCAGTGGAAAAATAATTGTTAAATTTAATGGAGTATGAATGTAAGTTTTGAATGGGCTACTTACAAAATAAATACCAATTAACAAGAATTTTTTTTAAATCTTGTGTTTAGGTTATAAGCAGAACACTCTTTGTATAAAATGGCCAAACTCAATATATGTCCAAAGATGTAAACCAATATGATGTATTAAATGGCATTTACTTTGATTAATGGTTTTTACACCAAAATACAGGATGCTTTGAATCCAAACAAATCATGGATGGTTAAAAGTTGATTCTTGAGGGCTTGGAAATAGGAAAATCATTTTGTACAACATATCACTTCGACTAAATGTCTTTATGAATCTATTATTTTAATACTTATGTTATATTTTGCAAGTTGATGGTAGTTTTAACAATTAATTAGTGTTATACATTGTGTAGGCAATTAGAAAAAGTGGTACCTATTTTTAGAAAATGTATTGTGTAAGGAGTAGCTAGCTTTAGGAGTGCTGTAGTTTTAAGAAGTGACAGTGCATTGGGACGTTCTTTGAAACGCTGTGATTTATTTAGTGGAAAAGTCAGTTAAGTACAATATTTTTATACTATTACCTTATTTTCAGTTGTATTACAATGTTTTTGTACATATTTACATTTATTTGTTTTATGTCCGTAAAATTTGTGTTCTGTAATGGTATAGATGAATAGATGTAAATAAAATATAACTTTAATTTTACTTGAGTTTAGTTTTCACCCAATTAAGTATAATGATGTTTGGAAAATGATACCAAACAATTTTTATTGTGTCCTATTTTTGTGTGTGTATTCATTGATTACATCAAACAAAGCAATGGGTGCTGTAGGACTAGAATGAACTGTACTGATAATTTTATGCCAAAAGAAAATTTAAGCCAGTCTCATGTAAAATAAATGGGAATCCTTTAAGGAGAGGACATTTTATCTTAAAAATCAATTTTACTTAAACCTCGAGTTTATTAAAAAGTGGATGACCCATCCTCTACACTAGGGGCCACGAGAGTCTGCAGTTGGTGGCAGCCAATAGCGAGACTGAAGTTGCAACATCGCCTGTCCACAAATATTTTACACTAATTAAAATATACTAAGCATTAATATTTTCAAATCAGCTGTTATTATTCAGGCATTCCCGATGACGTGGAACACACTTTCTTCCACTGCCAGCATTGGGAAAGGCCCCGCCTAGAGGCTCAACAGTTCGTAGGACTGCTGTCGGTGGACACAGTCATACCGATGATGATGGAGGGTGAGGACAATTGGACCTGTGTGTCACTTTACATCCAGGGTGTTCTCCGCGCCAAGAAGCTTGACCTCGACCGGGATGCGGTGTAGGTCAAAAAATAAATAATGCCAGAAACGGTGCGAGCCCTGTGGGCTTAGGTCACATGTTGGCCTGACTTGAAGTAATGTGACAAACAATTCCAGGTCTGTGTCCGACAGAGTAGAGGGGGTTTTTTAGTGAGTAGTCTGTGATAAACTCAGGAGTCTCACACTACAGGCTGGCTACCTGTGTGCGTAAAAGCATTTTCCCTCCTCACCCTAAAAAAAAAAAAAAAAAAAAAAAATTAGACTTGGCAACACTGCGTGGTCATCATTGGCTCCTTCGAAGTCAGGTGGTAAATAGGCTCCTCCCTCAACTGCAGACTATCGTGGAACGTACTGTAGTCATGCTACTATCTATATCATTAACCTTTTGTTATAAAGCACCATTAATTATTAGCCCAGTGAAAATTGCAATTATGTCCAGAATTGACCCTTCACAACATGAAACGACAATCCTTAGAATTGAAGTCGACCTCAATATCCACACAACTAATCTGGTAATATTTTACAAAAAAATTCAACTCAATATCAAAGTGATGCTTCAGAAATGTTGCAGACATTTTCACTCACGATTAGAAAAAGTTTTAGACAACGTTTCAAAGCTCTAAGTTTTAATTTCATAGTGATATTTTTCACCTAAATTTACCCGTACTCCTCATTGAGTGCTTAAGGGTTTATCTGGGTTTTAAAAACTGTTAATGTCATCAGATTACCAAAAAAGTATATTTTCAAGGCTATAAAATATTTATAAATAACAAATCTTAAACTTGTTCCACTAAAAATGAATCTGCTATCTCTAGATTGAGTGACTCAGTAACCATCGGATGCAAGACTTTTTAAATCTTAAGAGTAGTAAACTCGTTAACGTTCAATCGTTAACTTTTAATCTTAATAAGTACAGAATGAGGCAGTGAGAGCACCCCGACTTTTTTTCTTTGTCACACTATAAGTAAAGCAACAATGAATGAACAGCTATGCTTATAGCATCAATTAAACTGTGCCATTTTAGTAAAAAATATGCCTAAGGCTATTTATTAACACTGAGATTTTTATGTGGAAAACTATCTTTAAAATAGTGATTCTTGTGCAAAACCCCAGAGATTGTTTGGACCACATTTCATCCTTGATCGAAATGGCGTGAAATCAAGTGAGTGAAATCGACATAATGTAAAAAAACGATAAGGAGTGCTACCACAGCAACCAAGCAAAGAATTTTTGTGATGAACCATTTTAATGAGTAAAAAATAATTTGGTGACAAATTTCTGCATGAAAAAATAATTCCATAGAAAAATTCAACAGGTTAAACGTCAAAATAAAATAGACCAGCAGCTGCCACTCACTAGGACTAATTATAACCAACTAACTGAAACATAAACAACTGCCAGGTCACTTTTACCTCCCTCAGACAAATCATGTCTTACTTGTTAGACTAAAATAGACTCGTTTCAAAGGGTCATCATTTCTAATAAATGGAAACTTACTATTTACCATAAATTGTGTTAGGTAAAATGCTGGAATTTTTTTTTTTTTAACTTTTGCTCTAAAAATTTGTACAATTTCAGTAATTAGAAACATTTTATACATTTGAGACTTTTTGTACGTTTATTCACACTATTGGTATTTTAAACTTATTTTTAAAGGAATAGGTCCAAATCCTGGTTTTGTTACTACCTAACGTCAATCTTTTGTTAAATGGAATCATAGGTAGCTCAATGACAAATAACATCTGGGTCTAGTAACGATCTCACTTGGAATTGAACCAGCGACCTTCAGAAATTCACTCAGCTACGCAGACAATTTATTGTGAAAAGTGGTTGATACAAGAAACAAACTGGTAAATTTTACAACAAATGTATTTCATATTTACACAGAATATAAAGCTAATGTGACTAAAAAATCACTAATAATACTATATTATGTACAATTTAATATTTTACAAGATATAAATCGCATCAACAAGCAATGAACTAAAACGGTGAACATGCAGTGTACTTTAGTACCTACATTATTGGCAATTTATAGTAATAAAGTAGTGATTATAATTAACTGATAATTATTTGCTGGATTTTATAAATTTTCTTTGCATTAAAAGTTCAAAAAGAAAACTCATTTCTTAATACCGTATTCAAAAACCAAGAGACAAATTTCATCATTTTATTTGTAATAAAAGAAACACACATATTGCGTACTATACATTGTTTCTGATAAATAAAAAATCTGTAAAAAATACCAGTTAACAATAAGGCACAACAGTAGGTAACACAACTTTTTCTTCTTTAATGTGTTTTTCGAAAAACAATTTGGTCTTTTTTTATGAAAGGGTGACTTACAAAATTAAGTATGTTGTATGTAGGTATGTATAATACAGTATTGTAAGAGTTAGTCACATATTATGAATAAAATGATATTCCCAGCTATGATTTGGAACGAAATTGAAAAAAAAAAAACACATCTAATGAAGATGCATAGAAATATTCCAAACACTGACAAAATGTTTAGTTTTGCTCTTGCAGGATTGACTTAAATTACTAAATATTAAAATTAATGGACTATAGTCTCTATTGAAAAATAACAATTAAAGGTGGCCATAACTATCAAACTATCAGCTTCTGTCGAAGTACATTAAACTATTACCTTTCATTATTACACCATACAGAATCATAAGAAGAATCTATCATACATTGCAGGAAAAGACCTTACCATAAGGTATGACATGGAAAATAACTAAAGAACAATGCAATTAAATGTCCTAATAGCCATTTACATGTGTAATGTACATTGTGAAAGTCTTAATGTCCATTTGATCTGCAGAATAGATTATCAGAATTTAGAACATATCAAGTGACTAGAATCAGAACCATTTCACATTTATGGTAACTTATCATAAAAAAAAGTAGGCACCGCTTCAGTAATTTAGTATACTAAAATATTCTAACAACATTGACTTTGGAAATTTGATCAATTTTTTCATTGCTTACACTGAACAATTTGTGTTTAATTTAGAACCAAAGTATGATTCTAGTAAGCTTTTAACATTCGTCTCGTAGCAAATTTTGAAGTTAATTTCATCCAAGATAAGTGAGTTGTTGTTTATTTTTTTTCTAAACGATTACATCCGCAACACAAACATAAAGTGTGTCACAGGCCAGCACAAATCTATTCTATTAATTTCTCAAATGTACTTAATATATGCCAAGTGATGAAATTCTGCAAAATACCTAAACTTAAATAACTGAGATCACTGAAAACCATCAACTAGTTATAACAATCAATACTTGTAACTATAATCCCAAACTTTTGGTATGTTTGAATCCTCAGAGCAAAACAATTTTGTAGTGTAATAAAATGATCCAACAAATTGGTATTGCACTACGACTTAAAGATTTAAACTACCTATTTTATCACAGATTTAACTAAAGAAGTAAATAGAATCCAAGACATTTTCCAGGACAAAAGTTCCTTTCTGAGGCACCTGAGCTAAAACATCATGAAGTTTTTGCTTGGTCTGCGATGATGGGTTGTTTGGTTCATTTCTCTCTCTAAAACATAAAAAACTGTCATTAATTTTATCAAGCTTCTCTCATTTTTTGTAAGCGATTGCTATGTTCTTTTATTAAATCGTAAACCATATACAGGGTGTCACAAAAAAGTGTGATGGGCTATACAGGACCTAATTCTACATGCAAAAATAAGTCAAAAATGAAGAATAAAATTTTTTGGATTTCGGCTTAGTTTAGCCGTAATCCGCCA